TTCACTACCAAGGAGGCTGCTAAGGACGCTGTCGCAATGAATGAACAAGTGTTCAGATCACGTTCTCTGCGTGTTGAAATTGCTACCACCGACACTCGGCGTGGAAACCAAGTCGTCATCTCCCGAGTTGCATCACACCCGGCGGACTACGGTATCCGTGGTCTTGAAGTCCCGGTTGGTGAGCATGCACAGCGCACACTTGCTTTGATGAACGTCCCCGATACTGTCAATCAAGCCCGTATCCGTGCCCTTGTCGAGCCTTATGGTCGTTTAGTCGCGATCAATTTGCGCCCAGAACACCAAGGTGCTATTGTGGAATATGTTGATATTCAGGATGCCGGCAAAGCTGCGTTGGCACTCGAAGGAAAGGAGATCATTGCTGGACGCCCGCTCCATATTGGCACAGTTCGAGAGATGATGAATTCGCAACCGGAAATCAAAGCGGACCGGGGGCAATCCGTCAAGCAAGAGAACAAAACGAAGAAGACGAACCTACAACCCACTGGGCCGATTAGACGCCCGCAGCAGCCTGGCGCTCGAAAGAGTGGTCTTGGGATGAAACGACAGATCGCACCTTCTGGTCAGAAACCATCTGCCGCTAATCCGGCCAGTGACAAAATGGACACGACGCCTGACGGCGAGAGCAAACCGAAAAAGAGCAACGACGATTTCCGCGCTATGCTTCAACAAAAGCGTCCGGAATAAAGTGCAAGTGCAATGACAAGTGACAATTCCTGGCGTAATTCTTTGTTTTTTTTCTACGGCATGTATTTGGCTGGCGTTTTTCTGTTTCCTGGTGGTCATCTTGATGCTTCCTTTAGATCCGCATGTATTCATTCGGGTCGGTCTCTTGCGTCATGATCTCTTTTGTTTATGGCACATGCCGTCGTGTACATTATGACTGTATCTTGCTCTTAGTTCTAATGATGATGTTTGTTCCAAAGGGCTGTCACCGAGACCCGTGGACATTGCCCCCGATGACCTTGAAAGTGCCTTGTGATCTATATCGTAGAATATTGGTAGTTTTGTACATTCTTTGAACATGAAAAATAAGTCATAGCTCATGTCTTTACCATATGTTATACATTACTGATGCAGCATGGAGGTGTGTGATTGGATTAGATGTCACGATAGTGCCGTGCGCATTGACGTCAATCGGCTTGGCCTACTTGGCCTACTTGGCCTTTGGCCTTTGATTGTCTGCGGGGAAATAACACAACAATTCTGATACCTTCAGATGGGTTGCACAGAGCGATTTATTGCGACCAAACGATATAATCCTTTGTTATCTACCTGATACATTCCCTCCTAAACTCCCTAAACTCCTTAAACTCTTTAAAACTCGAGCCGCGTGACCCCCCCTGTTCTCTTATCTGACCCCCGATTAGCCCACCAGTCTAGTACATCTATCCCTTCCCTTGCCCGCATCGTTTCTATTTCCTGTGTCTTGCTTGGAGTCTATTAAGACTTCTTTCAAATTATCGCTGCTCTACACTCAATGTGCAGGGCTGGCACCAAACATCGTGAACATCCCACGCCATCGCATCCCCGCAGCGATGGACTTCCACCTAGTGCCGCGAGGCACCGATCGGAACTACACAGGATTCCTTACAAAGACAATAGTCTACATCGGGACACTGACGATATTTATGGCCTGTAGGCAGCTTTCAATGCCCATCTAGGCATCCAGATTTACTGACAAGATCTAGCATTTGGCTTGACAATATCCTCGATCGTCATTCCAAAATGGGTCAGCTACCATAGCGAAAAGGTACGACCATTATCCACCGTCAACAAGCTCCCACTAACACTATGAACCTATAGCCCGATAACCATTACTCCTACGGTCTTCACCGCCGCTGCTCCTCCCTCACCAATACCTGCGAAAGCTTCCCACAACGCGAAGACTGCCACGGCGAAGACCGATACTTTTGCTCCATGTGGCGCTCTGTCGGGTTCTTAATGTCCTTCGCTGTCGTTCTGCAGGGCATAAGCATAGTCACATACCTGGTCATCTTGAGTGGTGGAAAACGCCTGCGCGAAAATGGGTGGAGTGTTCTTAGTTTGACGGTTGGTCTGTCTGCCATTGTGCAGGCAGCCGGCATGTCGATAGTGGTGGGTTGATAATATTTCTATATCCAGCCCTAAGATGAATTTCCCTAATGATTTGGTTTATAGGCATATCTATTCGATAACGAGGACCGGTTCTTCGTCGGCTGGAAACTTGACCAGTCCTGGATCCTTTGCACTATTAGCTGGTGCTTCAGTGTCTTCTGCGCAGGCGCAGTTATTGTGGCTGCCAAGGTCTTACCCTCAGAGGGTGGGTATGAGTTGATTCCTGATCATGATGAGCTTCAAGTCACTTGATGGCGCCCTGTGTAGCATTCATGGCACCTGGATGAATCACGTGTTACGCAAACAGACGAAGAGACCTATCTAGGTATCATCGATCCTTAATGACTTCTCATAATTCTGCTATTTCCGTGGTTGCAGATTGTTGATGCTTTTCTATCTTTTGATCTCGTGCTTCGGCGTTGGGGCTGTATACATCTTTTATCGTTCCGGGTTATGGTAGGGACAACTAATATGGATCATTATTGAATAAAATATTTCTCTGCAAGCTTGCGTATCTACAGCCAAGTTCGGATTATCATGGATTGAATCATATCTTTGTGGATCGTTTTTGTGACCTTACAACAAGACCATCAGTGATAAACCCAACATAGGTAGAAAAATGCAAAGTGACGTAGATAGAAGTCTCATCATTCATCTCATACAGTACATTCTTTCTGATAGGCTGAGTCGACCTACCAGACAATTTCTTTTGCATTCAATCCCTCAATAGCCGGAATCTGCGGCCGCAGCGCCTGACCATAGTCACCCCCGTTCGGCGTGCGAAGCAGGGTGTGAATGTGGAATTTCTTCGGCTCCTCATTATTCAAAAACACACCGGAGTGGTGATCAAACTCGACAAGAATTACCGGGTTCTGAATACGGTAATAGAATGGATCTTCATTACCATACCCTCCAATCCAACAAAAGTACGTCTCCGCTTCGTGCGCGCGCACCTGATCAATCTTCATAGCCCGCGATTTGGCCGGCAGGTAAAGCAGATATTGCTCCAGGATGCCATACATGAGCTCTTTCTGTGCGGCATTAAAAGTTGACGCGAGGATACCCTCATACGGTACCTCACGGTTATCACGGTACGCGCCGCACAGGTGGCGCTGGTCATCCTTATTCCAGCGGCCGGGCGGCATAGCCGGATCCTTCATGTGAGCAAAGATACGAGCGGAAGCCTGCAACTCCGCCGAGAGCGACTGCATTAACTGCAACCCGAGTTTCTCCTCGATTTGCATGATACGCGTGCCGGCGTGCGGGCCGGCGTCGATCTCGTTTGGCTCTGCGCCTGTGAACCACGGTGACGCGACGATCTGCCCTTTGTAAAGGAAGATGTTTAGGCAGAGGTGATGACCATAGAATGACCAGCCCCAGGGGCGGGTGGTTGATGGACGGCCGAAGAGGACGAAGTTGTAGGAGAATTCGTTCATCACTGCTGGTGACTTGACTAACTCGCCGAGGAAGTGATTGATGCGCATTGCGCTGATGGCCTTTGCATACCCTTCTGGTGAGAGGGTTGTCTTGAGGACATTCATCACTGCATCCCGGGTCTTGGTGTTGACTTCATCGAGCCGGATGCCCTTGTGCGCGAGCAGGAACTCGGGGTTCGACCATGTGCGCCACTGTGGAGAGTCGATGTGGTAGTTGATGGCCTCTTTTTGCTTTTCATCCAGCAGGGCAGTCAAATATTCTGTTGCATCTACAATTTGCTGAATTGGGACGTCCTCTTCTTGTAATGTGAATAGACCCGGGCGTACGTTTCCTATACATGTTAGAAGCATTCTATTATGTGATATCCTTTTAGTTGTTTCATACCATCAGTGGTCACGCCTTTAAATGGCTCCTGTAATAGCTCTAGCCAATGCATATACAGCGCATGCAACCAGGGTGGCTGATGTCCGGTCTTAAACTCGTTCGCGTACTCATGCGCATCCTGCTGGCACATCGCCTGGAAACGCGGGAGGCTGAGGTCAGGCAGGTACTGGCGGTACTCGCCTGTGGGCTTTTCCAATGTATTGGCCATGATAGTATAGAATGATATAAAGAAATAAACTAAAGAGAGAAGAAGAAATGTCCAAATGATATTATATCAAGGTTGCGACCCCACATTGGTTGCGACCTTCCCCACGAGCGTGGGGATGGGAAATTCCTTATCCGCACCATCTGGCAACTTGGGCCTTCTGGCCAATCCAGTCAGGCCGGAAAGACATTTATCAGTTTGGCTTCATGTTACGATCTGGGGATATCTGTGGGACGTCCTAAATTTGGAGTTTGGCATTGTCGTCGTATCACAGCTTTTAGGCGCGTGGGATGTGTCGGGGCATAAATCCAAGAGTAATAATTTGGGTATAAAAACTACAAAGCAAAATGTAGACATGATTCTCACAGAATAAAGAGGAAGAGGCATAGACACTTTTTAATTTCCTTTGTTTTTGTCCTGTTAGAAGAAATGTATATCTATACTTCGTTTATATATCAACGCTTCAGCATTCCCGTATCTCACTATACCTCTATTTTAAGAACTCGGATATTCCGAGAGATTATCTGTTCAAAGGCTGCCCTCATATGTCGGGATGACATACTGTGCGTCTTTCTAATGACACTGACATTGAATCGTTGGTTCATGCCGCATAGGCGTTGCAGCATGCAGTGCTGATGGATAAGGGGCCACAGTATGAGCAGTCTGAAGTGGAGGCTGCGACATGTCTCAACATGAACCTTGAGCTGATTGTATATAATAGCCATCAGCAATCACTAGCAAATTGATGTTTCCTTTGAAAGAACGTTCCTAAAATGTGAAGATTGTGAAGTCCAGACAATTACCCGTGGACCCCGCGAATGATCCCCTTTAATCCCCGGCAATTCCCCGGTCACGTGTGATGATACCGGTCCGGAATTTCCGGCCTCACATAATTGTCATCGAAGACGGTAAGCGCAACGCTCAACATCGCTATATTGCCTGGGGCCTCATTAGGGAATGTCTGGATGATGCCGACTCCCCGACCTCAGATCAAGCGACCTGAAGTCAATCAGCCAGCCGCTAAGCGCATCAAACGGCCGCGTGCGACTCAAGCTTGCGACAGATGCAGGCTGAAGAAGTATAAGTGTAATGAGCGATATCCATGTTCACATTGTAGCAGTGAGTGATAAGATTATAGGAGTATCAAATCTTCTCTGACAATTACAGAAAGCCGCCTAGATTGCGTGTATCAGGGGACGTACCGAGAGCGTGAAAGCAACCGTGCTGCAGAGTAGGCCAATCACTTCGCATATCCACTGGGCTTGCTAATGTCCATAGTTATGTCATCGAACTGGAGAAGAAGGTGGAAGAGCTGACCTCGAAGCTTCGTGATGCGGAGGCTAAAACTTCCCCTGGAGGTCCCATCCCACCAATTGAAACGCTGTGCTCTATGCGCAATGCTTCCACGCCACGGGAGGTTGCAAAAATATCCGAGACCCGTGAAGGATCTATAGGAAGTTCTAAGGACGAGAGTAGCGAGGTCAATCACACCAACGCGATTGAATCCCACGGTAGAACATCCTCGGCTGCAATCATCGACGATCTGAAGAAAGAGCCTGAGCTAAATGGCCAGAAAGAGCCCTGCCCTCCCGCGCCTGATAACTCGGTCATCCCGACGCCCCGTAACCCAAGCTTATCTCCTCCATCCGCTGCTGGACCGGGACAGACGCTGTCAATTGAACAGTCAAACTACTATTTCGATCAGGCTCATGTCTTTATGAATGGATACTTTGAGAGCATTCATTTCATCCATCCATTTGTCGATAAAGAAGAATTTTTCACGCGCGCTAATGATCTTTGGTTTAATCGATCACGCACGCCTGAGCCGAGCTTTGTCGCGCTGTACCTCAGTGTTCTCTCGCTTGGGTCTTTGGTGCGTGTATGGGATGAAGGTACCATAGCCGGCTTAGGTCGGTTTGAATGGAGCCGAAAGCTGTTTGGGGAAGCACAGGTATACCTAAACAACCTGCAGTTTTCAAACGATCTTGAAACTGTTCAGTGTCTTTACATGATGGTGTGTGGGCATTTCCCGATAAATGACCGTAAGCTAACTTGAGCAGGCCAAAGTTTGTCAAAATGAACTCAATCCGAATCGTGAGTCTTTGTTTCGATTTTCAATCCAAAATCTAACCAAATAGGGGCCTATATGTATCTTGGCCTCGCAGTACGGACATGTCTTTCGGCTGGCTTTAATCGAGAGATCCCATGTTCAAAAGTCGCCACACAGCGTTCTGGCTGGATCTCAAAGACTTGGTGGTAAGTCAAAAGTGTGTTTTTCGACGTAACTTCATCACTCTAACGAGATAACAGGGGTTTGTTCTCTTTGGAAATGTAAGCACATTATACATCGCCATGGATGATATGTGCTGATCAATTAGTGAGATGAGCTTTTCAGTTGGACGACCGGACTCCCTTGGAATGGATGAATACCACGACCGCAGCATTCCACCACGCGATGATTCTGAATTCGCCATCATCCCATGGATGATTGATTTTGCGCAGATCATTCGACAAATATCTGTCCAGATCTACCATTCTCGCATCTCATTACAGGACAAGTTACAACTTGCTCTGCAAATCGAAATGGAAATGGACCGCTGGTTAGCGAGGCTTCCAGATATGATCAAACCCAATATCGGTGGATATAGAATGACTCGTAGTGCCCTGCGCGACCCGAAGTGGGCACGACGACAACAGCTTGTGTTGGGAATTAGTAAGTTACCCCTGGGATTTTTGGGGCTACTGATTAACGAATGTAGGGTACTATAATATCAGAATGTTGCTCTTCCGGCCTTTTTTAAGCCGCTTTACACGCAAACCACAACATCCTCCCAATGAATTGGACCAAGTTTTTGACAAATGTTTGGACGCCGCCATAAGGGCTCTCCAAGTGCTTCATGACCTTTACCGAGTTCACACATTTTTCCGCTGCTGGTATGTTTCTTCGCTAGGTATTGTTTCCTTAACTAACTTTTCAGGTGGTATAATACAACCTATGTAATGCTCGCTACATCGACACTTCTACTTCCAATGTCTCGGCTCGGCATGTGCGCTGAAACCGCTCCTCTATTGCGATCCGTGGAAATGGGCGTGGAGATCCTGGAAGCCATGGATGAGTCTGTAATAGCACAAAAGTCAGTTGAGATTATTAGGCAGTATCTGAGAGACTTCCGAGAACCTGGAGCTTCACAGCTACCTGGAGAGGGTGCAGCTTCCCTTTCCGAGGCGGGCCAAGCATTTGAAGTACCAGTATGTATCCTCATCCTGTTTTCCTAGGATTTTGCTGACCATTTAGGAATGGGCTTATGGTTTCGGCTTGCCAGATTATTCTTTCGAGGGAATTGCTCGACTATTTCACGATATTGAAGAGTTCCCGATGCCGGATGAATGATCATATATACCTGGGGATTTCTATTCTGTATATATTTGCACCAGTGCCCTCTGGGTGCTTTGAAATCTATTTGGTATTATATATAATCGTTATGGACTATAACGTCTGACACCTCCGGATTTTCCACCATGGCGGCCTCAACTTCTTCGGCCATGGGGACTGCAGCAGGTTCCAGTAATTGAGCAACAGTGGTGCGTGCATTGAGTGTGATGTGTAGACCTGCCTCGACCTCTTCTAACTTCTTTGCTTCCTTGGTCACTTTGATGGAGTGTCCCGATAGTGCAGAGGAGGCAGCAGCAGGTGTGCCATTTGAATCAGATGCGCAGCTGTCAGCAATTCCTTGTAGATCATTCATTGCGACTTGGCATAGATTTCAATCGACATGCTCAGCTCACCATATGCCCTGAGGAAGCCTACGACTCGGGAAAGCCGACGGACTTTCTTTTAAAACAAATGTTGTAATCTATACACAATCACCTAAGTGAGAATCGAAGAATAATATTCTATTCTATCTATGTTCATGATTTTGTGTGCAAGTGGAAGAAGTATCCACAGTGAAGCCATAGACCCCAAACTCCCACCCAGAGCTAACTCGCAAACATGCCATCAAGAACGAGCGACAGAACGAGCGATAGAACGAGAGACGGATTCCCTCGTTGAAAATCCCCTTTTAGCAAATTGGGCCAGTTTTGCGTCTCGCACGCACAGCTTGGCCTCTGTAAAATGATTTAGGACCTGTGTCAACTTTGCGTATCTCCGTTCATACTCGTCGCTCCAAATGCTCGATCGCATGGCCTTCATGTTTCCCACAACGTACAGGGCGTTCTTGGCTCGACTGATTGCAACATTCAACCGGGTTTTATCATCGAGGAATCCAGCATGCGTGGTGACTGTCATATCGAAGATCACAATCGGGCTCTCTCCGCCCTGGAAGGAGTCGATTTTCTTCACGGACACCTTGTCGAGGCCGAGAGAACGATCATTCCGATGCTCAAGTGTAACATACTTCAAGTAATTTCGGAACTGGGCCTCATATGGCACCAGGATAATGATATCCTTCGATGAGAGCCCTTCTAACCCAAGTAATTCTTTGCACAAGGCAATAGAAATCGCTGCATGGGCTGTATTTTTCTTGGAGTGGTATTGTATTTCAACCTCGCTGGGACAGACATCAATGAAGAGCAGATTGGTTTCCACCCCAAAGCGTTTTTTGTTGAAGTCGCGTAGGAACGAAGCGGTCTCGTTGTTCGTCCTTTCATGATCTGTGAGTTTACTGTCATAGAACTTCCGATTCACAAGGTTGGAAATGTCTGGATGCATGCGATGCTGTACTTCAAGCATAATCAAGGCATTTTCCCTATCAATCAAGCGCTTGAACAATGACAGACGAAGTTGATAGGCAAACGGGTTTTTCTCCGAACTCGAGGTCACCGTGGGCGCTAGCTGATGGTGGTCGCCCACCATGATAATAGGACTTGGGTAATAATGGGCCAGAATTGGCCACATTTCAGGTTCTGTAAACTTTGCAGCCTCATCAACTCCAACTACAGCTGGCTTGATGGAACGCACAATTGTGGGGTGACCAGCTGTAAAGGGCGTGCAAACAATTACATCTGCCATCTGGAGTACAGCGAGAAGAAGTGTGTTGGTGTTGTTACAAAATTCTATCCGCCCCTTTCCATCAATGGAAGTTTGACTTCGAAACATCTCAAACAAGTTGCGGAATGACTTGTACTTATCGACCGGCTCTCTCTCAGCTTCTGGAATGATCCCAGAAAGACGTAACATCCAGTGCGCATATGTCAGTTCAACATTGGAATGGGCCAGCATAGAATGTTGATTGCTCTCGGGGCCGCTAAATCTGGAATTCAACACTGCTTCCGTGAAAATCATGTTATTCAGAATCTCCAAAACCTCTCGGGGGAATGATGACTTCATGGGGTCACTACCCGGAAGGTGCTGCACACGGACGACAACGACCTGTTTTGAGCCGCGAGCTTCAAACATGCCGAGGCAAGCCTCATGCATATCTTTTGCTGTTCGATAAACACCATCGTTTGTAGGTGTTACGATGAGCAGTTGATGCTTCGTGTTAGTCTCGATATTTTCATTCAGAAAGGGGAGCAAACGCCGCAGCAACCAGAAAGTCTTCCTCGTTCCTGGGGGGCCCTGGATCAAGGCAAAAGGGCCCGAAAGCTCATGCAAATGTCGGAAAGCCTCCAGTTGGCGGGGATTGAACTTTGAAAATCGTAGAAGCTGCTGTTCAAAGCGTTCAAATAAGTCTTGCCGTAATTTTCCATAGAGATTTATTGAACGGAAGTGCTCAAGGCTACCGGACAGCAGCATTCTCCACAGGCCTTTTTGTAACTCGCAGTTACTGTACAGTTGGAAACTAGCATTGATCTGCTATTCAAATGGTCTGGGGCTTATATGTTGTTTTAAAAGGATGCTTTGGGAAGGATGTCGTGCCACCTCAATGAGTGTTGTATTCTCGGTCAATGAAAGAGGTTTTTCCCTCGATGAAATGAATTGCGACTGCTCAGTATCCCATGATTGGGAAATTCGAGCAGTGACCCATCCGTTGGGGCAGAGATGGTGTTTTTCGATGATCACGATACGCGTCTCAGAGAAGCTGTCTGTACTAGCATATGAGGGCCTGATGTCAAAATTTTCATCGTCCTTGAACACAAAGTTCTCGGGGATTTTTATGTATGCGAAATGAAATCGATTGTTGGAGGGAAGCGTGAACATTGTCATGAGTGTCCGAACTTGCTTGCTCTCTTTTGTCTCAGGGTCCACGGTCTTTCGGGTAGCATATTCGTGCTCGAAAATCAGCGAGAACCCAACACAGACGGTGTATTCCTCTCGGGAAGCAAATGTGGTTTTCTTCCATTGGGTGTCAATCTTTGGGCGAGAGTCAGCAGTGCGAAGTTCCCCAATCTTGAGGTATGGCTTTCTGGCGCTGGTGAACCAGGCGGACCAGGTGTTCACGGATTCGGACATGATGGAAGTCGGGTGTGGCCAACGAGGATGGTGAATGGCTGTAAAGGCGAAAGGTGGATGCTGCGTTTCTCTCGCTGGTAGTGTTGGGGTTTGAGAGATAGGTTTTGGTGGTATGGAGAGCACCGAGGCTGAGGCGCTGGCGGCAGGAATTTGGAAAAAAGAAGAATGAATCGGATTGCAGGCAATTGAGGCAGAAAATTTGTCACCAGAGTGAGGATAGTAACAGCAACTGGTATGCTCTAGTAGAACTCAAGGTGAGGTCAGTCAAACCGTGAGACACAGAAAAGAACTGAGTACAGTTAGAAGTTAATGGCAAGGGAAAAGGGCTTTGAGACGAATAAGGCAAAATCCCAGAGATTACAAGGCTGAAATGAAACTCATTTTGTTCGTTTCGTTGTATGAGCAGAGCGTCGTTCTCGTTTTCTATCCAGAGCAGCTAAATACACTGCTAAGAATAGATGTTTCGCTACTGTTATGCTTCAGAGGACAGTATTATCTGTCATAGGTTTGAAATATGAAGGATAGAATATGGAACATAGAGCATAGAACATGGAACTTAGAATATGGAATATGAATGATGAAGGATGGAGTAGAAACCCCAAGTTAAATACTTAGACAGTCAAACGAGGCCCTTTGTAATCGATAATCTATGATATATGATATATTATATATATTGTACACTCATCTATATTGTGTAGCTCGGATACTAGACTGTGATAATCAGATCTATTTAGGGATGACATTAGTGTAATAGCGATAAGTACTAGGAACGACATGCTACCTAGGTAGTCTCTACGAGGAGCATACATTAACTAAATCCAATAAACATGCCATCGAAGCTCTTGATAGTCTTGATAGTAATAGCTTAGCTGTCATATTTATAAATGTATAGATCACTGGTCTTCTAGGCCATTCATTGTCGGGGAACCGAACAGGGATAGTGCGTATTGTACAGTCAGCATCTGCTATAAAGCCGACGCAATCAAATTACAACTTCTTCACCATTTCTCTTTCTTCCAATTTTGATCATTTCCTCAAAATGAATGCTCCATTGCGTACTTTAGGTAGAGACGGCCCCCAAGTCTCTCCCGTCGGCCTCGGCTTCGGGAGTGTCAGTGGATTCTACGGACCAGCTGGTACCATCGACGAGAGAGTGGCTCTTCTGTCGCATGCACATTCTGCAGGACTACGCTTCTGGGACCTGGCTGACATATATGGCCGCTCTGAGGATATCGCTGGTGAATGGTTCAAGCGATCTGGTAAGCGAGATGACATATTCCTGGCCACCAAGTTTGCGCTCCAGCAAAAGGAAGGAGGAGGCTACACTTTTCGGTCGGATCCCGAATACGTTAAGGCTGCATGTGAAAAGAGCCTCCGAAGACTCGGGGTAGACGTTATTGATCTCTACTACTGCCATCGGGTAGATGGGGTCACACCCATTGAGAAGACCGTCGAAGCTATGGCAGAGCTGAAGAAGTAGGGTCAAACCAACCTCAAAAGGCGCATAACCAAATGACTTCTAACATTGCGATCTCTCAGAGAGGGGAAAATCCGTCATCTCGGCCTATCCGAGGTCTCGGCAGCTACACTACGTCGAGCGCATGCCGTTCATCCTATTTCCGCTCTGCAAATGGAATACAGTCTCTTTACACTAGACATCGAATCTTCGGAAATCCTGGAAACCTGTCGCGAGCTGGGTGTGACTGTCGTGGCCTTCAGCCCTATTGGACGTGGTATCCTGACCGGACAGTTCCGATCTTACACAGACATCCCTGAAGGTGACTGGCGCCGTTTGTACCCAAAGTACTCGGAGGAAAACTTTCCGAGCATTCTAAAGCTATTGCAGACATTGGAAAAGGTTGCTAGTACTCATCAAAGCACCATAGCACAGGTGGCTCTTGCGTGGCTCCTCGCGCAAGGTCCAGATATCATCCCTATCCCAGGTACAAAGTCCCCCGCCAGAATGGACGAAAATGCGGCCTCTGCAGTTCTTCATTTGAGTGACCAGGAAATGCAAGAGATTCGGTCTCTAGTGGAGAATATTCAAATTCACGGTGATCGGTACCCTGCAGCGTGGGTATCACTTTCATTGATTTTTGGGCCCAGAGTGCTGACCAGCCAGATAGAGCGATGGCTACTCTCCGCACCGATACCCCGAAACTATAGGGAAATGTTGGAAGGTCACGTGACCAGCACTGTTTGCTCCCAGTTCGACTTCCGCAAAGCTTGCAAATCCCGAAACCCGACCCGACTCGACCCTTGAAAGGGTTGGGTTTCGGGCCTGTTCCTAAAGCTCGCAGCGGGCTTTGGGATTTTGGTTTAGGCCTATAGCTCGAAGGGGGGAGGGGCCCTGAGCCCCCCCCCCCTTCGACTAAATAATGCAAATATACCAATTTCTTATAACTATATAAATAATATAGGAATTCCTAGTAATTTTTTAATTATCTAATTTAATTTAAATTTAATTTAGTAATAGAAGATCGCTAGTATTATTATTAATTAAACCCCTATAACTTAGGCTATGGAGAGGCCCATGGACGGGGCCTACGCCGCATCGCTGGAGAAGCTATAGCTATGACCTTCAAAGTTTTATAGCTGACAGATTGTTTGACCCATAGAAGACAACATAAATACTTTAGAAGTGCTTGCAGACTAAGCGATCACCCCATTTTTTCCTCTGTACATGTTTTCGCAATTTCTCCCCTGAATGATAAATAGCCCTATAATCACGTTTTAACACGAGTGATAAGACTAGTACCATCCGTCAGAAGATCGTAAAAGCATTTATCTCATTAGCCACACGAGAATCTAAAGAGAACAAGGCAAGGCCGCCTAATCCACGATTGTTTGCCTATCCTTTATGAACTTTCTCTTCGGGTATCCTAAGAAAGAGCTGCAGTTGTAAAAAGGATTGCACAAAGGACCCAGCAAGGATTGTCAGTCCACCCCAGGTCCTTGAGGCACAGAGGTAGATAGGAAATGCAGCAATCGTCAAGAAGAAGCTTATAAGCGCCAGCGTACAAGACTGAATCCAGGAAACGCGATCCGGGCGAAGTTTTTTGTATATCGGCCAAAATGTTGTGAATATTCCAAGGAGCTGAATCAGAGCAGATGCTATAAGTTGGGAAAAATCTGAATCTTTTACCCCGCCTGGCTTGTTCTCGGAAGAGACCGAAGCAAAGCAAGCTGGGACAAATGAAACAGCGCATGTGACAGGAACAATGAAAGCAAGAGCGGATCTTGCCTTTTCCTGTTCAAGTATAGCATTTGGAGGATTTCTTGAAGGTGTCTCTAGCAATTTACTGCTTTTTGGTTAGAAAAGTAGTTTGAAAATAGTCAAAATGGAATCACCTCTCATCAGTGTCATCTAAGTACACCAGTGGTTCGTGCTGAACACCTAAAGTTGAGCACAAGTCTTCGATGTCCTCGTCGATACTTCGCAATCCCTCCTTGAGTACAGGGATTGATTTTCGAAGATAGCCACTAGCGGCCGCATCTTTGATTTGGTTGTATAAGCTTCGTGACAAATGCAAAATATCGCATAACTGTTCGTGGACTGCTTCCGAAGGAACCGGGGGCGGATCACCGAACATCAGTATGTCCATCAGCTCGTATTTCTCGTATTCCAAAGCATCCTCAAAAGCCTGAATCCCCAGGTAAATCATCTCACGATAAAAGTCACTTTTGAAGGGCTTCGATACTATCTCATAAAGGTCCTTTTTGGAGAGCCTTGCCACATGACGGCGTATTGCGCGGGAAATAGATTGCAAACGGTCGTCATGCTTGATGTTGGCGAGATTGCCTGCAGTGAAATCCACGAAAATCGTTTGGTAATCTTTGGACTTCTCGTGCTCTTGTAGAGTCCGCAAAGCCGAAAAATCCAAGTTCAGCAGTGTGGAGGCTATTTTCCTTAAGACTTTGTGTTCGGGTCCTTTTGACGGATGTTCTCGACGTTTCTGCAAGGAGTTTTGAGGAACACTCATATTGGGGTTTGGTGAATGTACATAAACTCTGCGCTTTGAATGAAGCGAGAATGAACGGACGAGGTAAGAGAGGAAGCAGAACAAAAAGCGGGGTCAATCATCCTGGCACCGCACTTCTCAAGAAAAAGGCGCAGCTAGAAATCATCAGGTATCAATTAAAAGTGCCCAACAGTATTATAGAACGCGTTATATCTGCACATCATCGAGTATATTACCTACCGTTGTGCGTCAAGGCTAGTACACCAGTGGGTAAAAATACTACAAAAAGAGGTGTATAAAACACCGACATCAACGCGAAACCACTTTCATAAGAGCCTCTCGGGCTTTCACATTGGGACAAATCGTTGGGAAATCATTGCGTTTTAAGCTGTCTGCAGGAGCGTCAGCGAGACAAGTTCTTAATGATCCTTGCTTTAATGAATGACCCCATGACAAATAGTCCTTACACTATGAAGGCGCGTGTGAAAGTTTTTCTTATTCAACTATTCTATAGCTAGCAATTCTTTTAGACTTCGATCTGAAAATGACCACCAGCAACTCTTTTTGCGCCGACCACATCAATACACCATCCTAGAGAGGCATCAAAGTCTTGGTGTGGACCTACTTCGAATTACTTCGGTTGCATTCAATCAAGGCTTTGAGCTCAGCGAAAAGAATATTTCAACCAGATTAAAGTCCGGCGAGAAGCCTCCTACTTGAGAGTGTGCGGTATAGCAGAAAATTACCATTGTACGGCAATAACAAGTCAGATACACAACGCAGTGTACCACCTGCGTCATGTAAAATACAACGTTCTATTCTTCGAAGTCATACATCCACTAGAGGGCGAATCGCCCACTATTCCACTAGTAGTGCTAAAAATAGAGCGAGTATGTAGAATGATTTAAGCTCTCCCTCCTCCCTGCTCAGGTATAAAAAGAAACAGAAAGTAACTATAACTATTAATTAAGAGAGAGGAATTTCGCCCTCTCTATTTTGTTACGGACCTACCCGTCACCAACCAGTGATAACCCATAAGGCACATAGATGGGCCACCGAGAGCTAACCAACCGACCAGTCAGTATTTATATAATTTCGACATAGAGAATCATCGACCCAATGGAAGCCTAATTCGGGTGTTTAACTTTGATAGAATGATATATATCTTTAGGGGATTGCTAGAAGAACATTCCCTCTTGGAAATCTGTTGAGATTTTGAATTATTAGATTTAGTTTAGTTTCTAGTGCATGGTTCCATCAAGTCCCGTCCTGTCAACCTCAAGTTTGCGAGGTGTCTGAGTCTGCTTTTTCAGCATCGGGGGTATTCCCCTTCTTTGTCTGAATGACGTCCTTTTCCGGCATGCCATACTCTGTCTCAAGCTCCTTTCGCAAAGGCACCTCTTTTTCAAAAAACACCAGTATACAAGCAAGACCGCAGAAAGCAATCGATACCAACCAGACAAGCTTGAGGGAGTCAGAAAATACCCCGATCACTTCGCTCTTCACCGGGTCACTTAGGTTGTTTATGAACGTATTGGACGCGTGCTGGTAGGCGTGACCGTTGGAGAGTGTTTGTCGCACAGTAGCATCCGAAATCCGATAGGCGTATTTGTTAAACTGATTGTTGAAGATGCTAGCGGGGATAGCCACGCCCCATATATTACCGAAGCTCCGCATAAATGCCCAGCTTGCCGTAGCAGCCGCCTGGTCCGACTCTGCAAGTGGGGCCTGGAAGGCAGGGAGCAAGGTGTTCAGGATCATTCCAGATCCGAGTGCGGCAATGATTTGAAAAACAATCCACTCCCCATCGGAGGAGTAGCGGTCGAGGTGGGCAAACAGGCCCATACCCAATGTGAGGATGATAAAACCGACCAGGTGAAGGGCTTTGTACTTTCCAAACTTCGAGAGGATGATGACCGCAATTACGGCGCCGGGAATCGCAACGAGGGTAATAGGCAGCATTTGAACGCCTGCTCGGGCTGGCGAAGAGCCCAAAATGGCTTGGAAGTAAACAGGAATGAAGAACAGGACCCAGTAGAGAAGGACCGTGAACAAGTATGTGTTGATGAAGACCACGAGGGAGGTTCGATTTTTGAATAGGCGCGGTGGCACCACGGGCTCGGCACAAAACTTGGATTGTTCAAAAACCATAAATATAACCAGCCCAACAAGGCCCAGCACCAACGGCACCACGATCCGCCATGAGCTCCATGGAAAGCGTGAGCCCCCGTATGTCAATGCGCAGAGGATTGCTGCCGTCGCTCCCATGATGAGGATATTGCCGATATAGTCGATACGCTTGATCTTCTGGGAAAAGGTGGTATTGCTCTGATAGTTCGTGTGTAGAAACAGGAACAGAAGCACCAGCGCAAACCCACCAACAGGTAAGTTGATGTAGAAGACCCATCGCCAAGTTGTGCGTTGAACAATAATTCCACCTACAAAGGGGCCCATTGAGCTGCCAATCGAGTAGACGGTGAGCACGATGGCGATAAAATTTCCGCGCTCACGCAAGGGAACGAGATCCGAGACGATCACATCGACGATCATGTTAATGCCACCACTTCCAATGCCTTGAACCGCGCGCCCGACAATGAGCATATTCGCGCCAGTTGCGCCACCACAGATGCCGCTTCCCAAGGTGAATACGGCGACGATAAACATCGTTAGCCATCGGCGACCGAAGACATTGGCTAGCTGGCCAAATAGGGGCTGAACCGCTGCACTAGAGAATTCCCAGAAAGTGTCAGTTTACGGCTCGGGTCACCACGACTGGCGGTAGGGAATCAAGGTACCTGGTGAGGAAGAAGGCATTCGTGATCCAGATATAGTTGTCGCCGATGCCCAGCTCCTCCACAATTGTTGGCATTGAAGTCGAAACCACCGTGTTCTCCAGTGCTCCCAAGAGACCCGTTATACAGAGTGTAAAGATAATGGTCCAGAACTTGAACCCTCTTCTCATGGGTGGAGGTTTCACGATTGCTTCCTCACTGCCATCTTCCACTCGGAGTCCACTTTCTTCTCGCAGGTCGGGCTTCGTTTCCACTGTCATGGTCGCGAAAAGTTGCAAAAGTATGGTGATTCTATATCTCAAGACAAGAAAAGGAGACTAACACATTAGCACTGCGCTTTCTCTGCAGGGAGCTTGAGTCACTCACCCACCACCGTATCCAGCTGCTTGTCGGGTACCTCTCACGATTTCGATCCCCGTTAGGTCTGTCAGCTCAAATGATTTTCGTATGCAGGATATTAGAAAAGATCGGAGGCTGAAGAGAGAGACAATTGGTTCGAAGAAATTGGATCTTTGCCTTCGGTGACGGAGAGGCAATCTGGCCGACCCCTTCGGAGCATTCGAGTTCTTTGTTTGTTGGCCCCGATTCGGATTTTGCCATATCCCCGGATCCGATCCATGGCTCGCACGCAAGGCATTCTCGTTAGCAACGATGTCTTTACTTGCATGCTGACTGCATTGGCCCCCTGTGGTGTGTGAGTTCGCCAGGGGTCGTATAGTAGAATCAGTGAGACAATCCGATGCGCATCATAAATGGCCGAGTCGATCAAATGTACGGAGTAAGTAAGGTTCGGAAAGTTCCGAAAGTCAAACAAGCTAATCGGGGGGGGGGGCTATTAGTCCGGCTATTGGCCCGGGGTCCGTTAACCTCTCGAATCGCCCCGGGGCCGACTACTGCGATGCCACCTCGTATTTTGTACCAAACAACATCTGCAATTCTACGATTCTGATTCGGCACACACTGCTTATCAACCATTTCACAAATGACCATTTCTTTACCATTTACATACTTATTTTACGATTTTACGATTGTACCATCATACCATAAATATCAAACTATATAAAAGTAAGGCCTTCTATCCAGATCTTTTATTAGTAGGCCTTCTAAGAGGATTTGTGAACAGAGATGTTTGTGAAATTTGAATCTATGGATGTATTGGTCGACTTGGTACGGAGTACTCCGTAATTACTACGATTCTGCGAGGAGTCTACCCGCCTGTCTGCTCGAAAGTGTTTGCTCGCCCGGAATATAATGTTGACTAATAGCATGTGACCTAGTGGAATTGTAGGAATTGTAGTATTGTCATACGATGGTACTCATACAGAGGTATTTTGACAAAAAAAAGCTTGTTAGTGAAGAGAGAGAGAGAGAAAGAGAGAGGAGAAGAAGAAGTAGGTAAATAACTATGCAGGTAAAGAATAGGGAGAAAACTCCAGGTAGGACTGGAATCATCAAGAACAAATGGAAGTTTGATTATAATTTGAAATGATTGAATGCCTGAAATGGCATCGCAAAACAGCCAAACAGCAAAATACGAGGTGGCATCATGGGCACTAGCTGCTGCCGTAGCGCCATCACAATCCCTGCTTTGTTTCGAGGGGCCAGGATCTGGGGGCCACCCGGCGAACCGCAATCTAGTTCAACTGAACATCCTTTAGGTGCTTGACGTCCACTAGTAATCGTGGGGCTCATCGGAGGTCCAATTTCGCTCAGATTTTGGTTCCATATCTGTCTCTATAACCCTTTGGACAGTCTATATCCCCCTAACCACCCCGCACAATGGCAATGTTGTCACCAGAAACTCACGCGCAATCCGCCAAAAGATTCGCATGCGATAGATGCAGAGGACACAAATTACGATGTCCTCGGGAGGACCAGACCGGCCAGTCCTGTACGCGGTGCCTGCGCGCCGGTGCCATGTGTATTACAAGCAATCTGCGCCCTCTCGGACGGCCGGCACGGAAGACTACCCCGGGAAACAGCCAGGGACGGGAACGACGCCCACGAAAGCCTGTAAGCCGCCAAAGCGGTCCCGCTGACGATGAGATCAACGTATTATATGATATAGATCCCACCCAAAATCCAAACCATCTATTCGGCGCCGAGAAACATCACGGGAGCAGGAGAGATGATGGCCCGCCGGAGGGCCCAGGAGCTTTCGACGCAAATGGTCCCGCTTTTTTTGGCCTGGATCCGGCAATTCTCTTGGGCCTCTCGGGGGTCAGCGATGATTTCCTGGGGGGCGGGCTGTCGAGTGGCCAGAACTCTTTCGGGATTCCCTCGCTGAATGGCACGCATATCCCCAGCCCCAGAGATGCGGAGAGCGCATATGCCGACACCAGCCATAGATCGAGTGATCAAAGCCAGTATTTCAGGGACGAATCCAGCCAAAGACTGGATTCCGACTCCCTGAGAGCTGCCGATCCTTCCAAGCAGCCACGGAAGACGATGAGCAGCGCGGATGCCGTTCAGAGGCTGTCTGTCCTGATTCAGTCGCTGAGCAAGCAACTGGAGCGACTCAAGACCGCACCTTGGAGTGTCACCCTGGTCAATATCGTGTGTACCAAGCAGGGCCAGGAGGCAGCCAATTCGAACCCCCTCGGAGAGGTCCTTCAAAGCACCTCCGAGTTCGTGCAAGTCCTCCAAACCATCGCTTTCAAGACCTCTGCAGACCAGCCGGTGTCTGCATTTCAATCACCCAACTCCGATCCCACCACGCTGTCGTCATCGGGGTCTGACATGTACTGCTCTCGCGCGGCAGCGAATCTGAACAACGCCGTGCAGCCGCTTCATATCAGCTCTTCGCCCTTTGGCCAACTGCACACTCCAGAATTCAGGATTCCACCGCCCTCCGACCATTCCAAACCGGATCTCTCGACCGCTCTCCTGATCCTAACCTGCTACATTCAGATTATCCAGATCTATAACCTTCTCTTCCTGCGCGTCTGCGAGTCTCTATCGGAAATGTCGCACCAGTCCATCTCATCCCTCCAATCTGTACCGGGCCTCCAGCTTGGAGGATTCCCCGTCCAGTACGGGAATCTGCAGATCAAGATTCTCGTCCAGGTGATCATGCATCTTCTGTCTCACATCGAACGCTTGCTGGGAACATCTGCGGAGTTCCATCTTGACCCTGCCAGCGGCTCCAATGATGGTCTCCTCAGTAGTTCGGAGCTGACCGCGCTGTCGCGGATGGTGATGAGTCAAAAGGACGACAAGGAGAGTGATGGGATGGGTGTTGGGTATATTTCCTCGCTCCGGAAGAAAATGAAAAAGATCCAGCAGATGTTGGAACTGAACCCTTTTTTGTAGATATTCACAGCTGTTGCATTGTCTTGTTGATTATAATTCGTCGTGTGATTTTTTTTTTCCTGCGCCACGAGTTGCGAATGAGTGTTATGAATTAGATTTTGTATGGACAGTATTTGGGAATTTGTGATATTCCATGTTTTGAGCAGCGTCACGTTTCGGATAAAGAAAAATTCAAAAATTTCAGGTATCTACTCCGATTTATAACGGCATCTGGGCACTTTTCTTTCCGATAGAAAAAAAGAAACGCTCCGATGGCCCGCCACGTAAGGTACCTACCCTACACATGTAGATAACAGGGTCATGCAACACGCTACGTAATGTCACAGATCTTCCGACCGGCAGATGCTATTGTAATAGTTACGTGGTGCTCTATAGTCTGATCATCACCATAATGGCTTAGGTACATAGTGAAGCGGGGTCTATGGGTGCACTCTAGGTACACGGGTCGATTCAGCCTGCATATGATAAATCTAGGAAAGAAGCGCACAGCGGAGCGTACAATAGAAGATGGTAGTCAGAAATCTTTGGCTCAAAATGAGGGATGAGAGAGATGTGAGGTGCTGAGCGTTATAAACTATGAGAAATGCGCATATAAAGAAGCCACCTCGGAGCATTTACCAACACTGCTGACCGTCACCTTTTTTTTTTCTTCTTGTCAGATCCAGTTTCCAGCCAAAAATGCAGAACTCATTGAATATACATACCCCAGGAGGGACAAAGTTGCCATCCACCTCGTATCCGGGACTCACACGGGGGAGTCCAAATGCTGCGTTGGTGTGAAGGCGCAAAGACTCGTCGATGACTGCTTGAAGGTACTTCATTTTCTGGAGTCGGTCACCCGTGATATCATCATACTCGGCGAATTCTTCTCTGATCTCTTTCTGAGCATGGCCATATTGATCTTTATTTGTCAGGAGATAGTACAGCGCAGAAGAGATTAAATTCGTCATGGGGTCGAATCCAGCCACGATGAATACATTTGCCTGGGCGATGATCCAGTCCTCGGTGGGATCTGGCTTGCCATCTTTGGGAAGCAGCTGCTCAACGTAATCAGGATGTTTGATCTCGTCTCGCTGCGACATCCGACGACGAATCTCTTGTCTATTCAGACGGAGAAGGGTAGGTACAGTGAGAACCACAGACAGCGGAATCAGGAACCAAACGAAGGGTCGAAGCATGCGAAATCGTCTAGTGACTTGATTGGTGGTGCCCCAAAGTCCGACCTTCCCAAACGTAGATAGAAAGGTGGATGATTTAACTAAGTGAACGCGTTAATAAGGGACTGGGTGCTCGCATCATTCTTGAGGCCCTCTTTGACGACATACGGTTTTTGACCTGCTCAAATTGTCGACACGCGGAACCGAAATGGCGTTAGCGAATCCTAGCGGAGGTAATAATTTGTGGGGGACATACCCTTTGCTGCATTTGGGGTCATAAAGGCCAGCTCGTTTGGAGAGACACGAACAACATCTCCTATTTGAAATTAGATCATGGTTTTGTTTCCTGATCAGCCTAGATGCGGTCTTCTGCTCACCGTATTTCTCAAACGCGGCCTCAAGGGCCCACGGGTACCTGCCAGTAAACCTGGCATATTCTGTCAGTATTTAAGATCTTCTTTTCTTTCCATTTCTCTAGGTATGCATATTGAGTCCAATCTGGTCATTTTGACCTGGTGGTAAGCACCAATTTCAATGAGCAGCTATGGACATTCCAATGATACGCATACCACACATTTGACACGGCGGCAAGCTTTGGTCCAGGAAAATTTGCCAAAGGGTGCAAGAATGACAGATAAGTGCCTCGTCCGATGGCATAGATAAATGACTGGGATGGTCGAACATTAGCGTATGATCATGGCTTTTTGGGACAATCCCCCAAAAAATATTTGATGCTAAAACGGATATCACTAACAATTGTCAAGGAATATTTGAGTATCAAGCCAGCATCCAGAGCAGATATGATCCGGTTTGCGGCGATCAGCTGCAGCCCAAAATCTGCTGCAAATTTATCCATGATTCGAATCATTGGAACGGGACACCTTGAAAGGCTGTTTCAATCAAATGGCAGACATGAAGGATATAACGGGAATAGCATTTGTGGAAATTACCTTAACTCCATTGAGAATCGAGATCCCTCGTAGCAAATCAAATCCAACATTTATCCAACCACTGAATCGGCGAATAGGCGAATTCCCTGAAGCGCTTCCTTAATTCTCCGACACCTGGGGAGTAGCCTCTTCTACTCCGGATGCTTATGGCGGGAGCCACACCGAACAAGGGTCCGAAGTATCGATCACGAAGCAGACTCACTATGGCATCAATGTTATTTTGGAGAACAATGAGCTTCCACGGGATCCTTTGTTGATAGAATGGCCCCCAGGCTCGGTGGATAAATAATGCCGATTTGGACGATTATACGCTAGTTCGCAGTAGGGACGGCGCCGGGGTGGAGGCAGTAAAAGCAACCACACCATGCACGTCGCCTCAGTATCAGGAAAGACCAGCTTCCTCGACCGGCAGAAATAATTGTCGTGAGAATCTGATTTCGAGGACATCATAGCAAGCAAAACAAGCAAAGTTCTCAGTGACAGTACTACTAACTGCTGAATAAGTATTCAAGTAGAACCTTGGAATATGAAATCAGGTACATTCAAGCCCCCTAAGGCTACTGACCGAGTGGCACAACCAACTTCCGGGCATTTACCTGTCCACTCTTCATGAGAGTGAACCCATCCAAAATCCCATTCCATCCACGAGAAAGAACATACACAGGGTGAACTTTAATCTTGTTTTCTTCCAATAGCTTCTCCGCAATCCGAAAGAATTGAACCCCAAGATCCTTAGCCGCCTGTGAAGCAGGCCTCCCATATTCAGGACCCAGGTCAATTTCCCTCCCATGAAGTTCGTGAGCCATGACGAATTCGGAATTCACTGCTTTGCGTGTGAGGAGCTCCTGCTGTGGAAGCTCCAAACAGGCATACCTCCCTCCCGCCCGACCAATGGCAGCGTGGCAGATTTGCGTCGAGTCAGCATCCGTAATACAGTCGAGCGCATACTTCAATGAATTGTTTGTAAACGACTTGATGTCCGCTGCGCAGGTGGGTGAGGCGTAGTCGAACACCTGCTTGGCCCCGAAAGACTTGACCAGGTCGAAGTTCTTGGGTGAGCTGGTCGCGATTGGGGTGATGCCGCTCCTGCACAACATGGTGATTAGATTTGGATTTTCAACCATGGGCTCGAATATCAGCTTACAACTTCAAGATCTGCACTGCCATAGTCCCCATTGCGGTGGAGCCTCCGTACACCAAGATAGGGAAAGGGGTTGCGGCGGGCTCATTTGGGGTTGCCGTCAATCCAAGCGCTTTCCAGAACGAGATACAAGAAGTACCCAGAGCAACGCCCAACGTCGCCGCATCTTCCCAAGCCATTGATGCAGGAACCTTCATCACAAGGCTCGCGTCAGCTTTGACGTATTGAGCAAATGCACCGCTCCGAGGGTCGGCTGGGTTACAGCCGTGGACGGCACCGCAGACACGATCACCCACAGCTAGCGGACGCGCGAGCTGTGATACCCCCGAGCCAGTCTCTATAATGGTTCCGGCAAAGTCTGAGCCGATGATGGCGGCAGCCGATTTACCGTCAATTAGCGTTGTGGTGGAAAAGGAAGTTGCCGAACATTCTTTTTGCCATTTTGTGACAACTCTTTTGTCAACTTTCAGAGTGTGTATTCTAAGCATAATACGAAGAAATCAAAAATTTAAGAATAAAGATGCCTATAAGCCCAAAGAAAAAGGTGAACCAAATACGCCCTAAGAGATGGAAAATAAAAATGAGGTCAAAAGACAAAAAGAACCTAAAGTCGAAGCCCCAACCAGGTAGCCCACCATATCACATTGTTCATAAAACCAGACCCAAAGCTCCTTCCAACCCCTATAAACCGCAGCCTGGTCCCTTTACCAGGAGTAATTCCACCCTCAAGTAATGGGCAATCACACTAGCCCGCAAAATTGTGGGATCGTGAGATAATAGAGCCTTGAGATATCTTAGCTCTGGCCATATCCGATACCCTTCTTGTGCTTACAACCAATCAAGGATTTCTCGGCTTATTCATATTGCTATCAATCCTCCCACAGCTAGTGCTATCACGACCATCCCCATATTTTCCGTACGAACGAGCGATGCTTGGATCAGCGTGGGAAGAATGCGAATTAGACGAGCTGCGACTGAGCGAGCTCGGGGATGACGGTGTTGAGGATCCGGGTGTTTCTGCAGATGCAGCTGTGGGGTTCACCATTGCTCTGGCTGCGGCAGCTGCAGCTGCAGGGTTGCAGTGTGCACAGATAAAGATGTTGAAGCCGCGACCGTTGCAGTTGAGGCAGATTGCTCCTCTGGGAATCGTGTTAGTATTAGGATACAGATGTAAAGACTGTATTGGGGGTTGGTGTATACCTCGGGGCATTCCCTGCGCAACCTTTGCATGTAACTACCGTCCGCCCTCCGACGCAGGAAATGTGCTCGGGGTCAAGGCTGAACAAGGACTGGGTGGAGCTGGCCATTTTAATCGATGTAGAAATATAGAGAAGCGAAATATTGGAAGGTAAATAGTGCAGACGCGGAGAGTCAAGTATGATCAAAATCCACCTAACATAAAGTGCAGGCGGCTTTGTGGTATTCTTCTCGTTGGTTCTTTCTTTCACTCTGGGGGGAAACTATCAATAAAGAATAGCCAGGATATTGTGAACCCTGAAAGAGTAGTTGGGAACAAAGGAAGAGGAAGACAATAGTATAGGCCGAAGTATAAAGCTAGAAATTATCGGCGAAGAAAACGGATTTCTTATACAGAAAAAAAGTCATTAGTGCCACCAACAAAGTTCCCGAGAGTTTCCAAGTGTCACATATGCGATATCCACCACGGAGCGTGTAATTGATGACGGGAATCAGGGTTGAGTCCACCAGGATGATCAGCAGGACAGAGAGATGGACGGTGATAGGATAGTTAACCAGGTACATGATGTACGTGAATATTTCATTTACATGCATGCCATTTCAATCGAATCCTTCGGTTATTCCCGACTAAAAATAAAAAAAAAGAAAAGAAAAAAAAAGAAGATCCAACGCGAGAGGGGAACGGCGTAGAAACCGTTCTGGACTTAGCTGAGTTGTCAAACCCCGCTGCCTAGGTGCTTGTGCCTGTCAAGCTAAGGTATGCAGCTGCGGAAATGCAGGGTTTATGAAACAGGAGCTGGTGGGGGATTCTGGTGCTTCTTGATCCACACGACCGGGCTTACGTTGTTCATACGCTTCCTAAAGGGTTCATTCGCTGGTCATTCTGTGAGAGGGTTTTTAGAGCAAAAAATCTGCAGTGAAACCAGAATGCCACCAAATTGGCAAATCAAAGTTGATACAGCGTTAAGCAGGCAGTCGTTCATGTGCAGCGGAAAAGATGTCCCAGGAGCATGGCCTCCATCCTGTGACACGACAAATCTTGACCGTATAAACTGGTATACCATTATCCTCGTGGGTTAGGACTGTTGATATCGCCACGAGTACTCCGTATGTGATGTTCAACTCCAACCACGGATAGCTGCATTGGACCATGCGACCATGATCTGAACTCCGAGATGATGTATGGATGATACGGGCCATTCTGGGTGTCTTTTCGATGTCGATTTCCTCCCATGGTGGATCTCTCTCTTCAGCTCTTGTCGCATTTTCTTGTTGAGATGATCTTTCCATCTCGACCGAATAGAGTAAAGTACCATGCATGGAAGGTGGTATGAATAGTCAGATTCTCACCCAGTTCGCTTAACACATACCGTATCAGGAACAGTGTTCAAGGGCTTCTACGGAGTACGCTCTCAAAGCGTATCTACCGTGAGCAGTAAGAGAAATGCATGGGGACAATCTCGTGCAGGGGCCAAATCGATGCAATGATCCATTCCAATGTTGATAATAATATGCTTCGTAAGCACAATCTCCGATAAACACCGGAGAGAGCGGATGCATCTGGCACATGTGACAGCATGAAGAGATCCGAAAAGAAAAGAAAGAAAAAAAACCCCCACAACAGCCATAATTGAGGTGAAAAGAAAGCCCTGTGAGAGGTGTGAGCTACCAATAAGCAGAAAGAAAGAGAAATCGAAATTTGGACACACAGCCAATCGCATGAGTTCATACACCGGAAGCCCGAAGCGCCGTGGATGTGACACTTAGCCTCAAGCAAGTAACCGTGGAGGGGCTGCAAGGACAGGGGCACCGAAAAAGACCTAGAGAAACCCCCCCTTTTAGCATTTTCATCTCAGTCAACATTTCAAGGATTCCTTGCAGCCGTTTGACTTTGCCTTTCATTGTATGAGCTGACCTGAAGCGCTTCTGCATATTGGTCACATGCAGACTTGAATGTGGAAATGACACGCATCCACGAACAGCTCGAATAAATTCACTCATATCGGGTTTGCATGGATACATCCAAAGACGTAACCTAAACACGAGTTCAAATAAAAGTAACGGGTATGCGCGTCATTAGCGGGGCTGTGGATTCGTATACTAAACATATCAGCCTCCGATTCATCATACTGTATGGAACTAAGACAGCCCAGGTACTCCGTACTTCAAGCTTGGGTTCGTTCAACCAGTTCACTATTAGGAAGTAGGCCTGCAGCCAGCCACTTCCAATCACACGCTAGTCCAGAATTCGAAGTCCAAAATTTGAACTTGGGCTGGAGTCGAGGCTTCGCATGGGCGGCAAGTTGCATCAATCATTACAACGAAGAAGTTTCCATCGATGTCTCAAAAGAGCTATCTGAGACTTCCGGAGGTCATCCTGGAACCAGAACGTTTGCAAATCACCTTTCATCACCAAGTGTCACCGTTAAACCCCGAGGGTGCCGAGGGGGAGAAAAAGAAAAGAGAAAAGAAAAGAAAATATCAGGTTGCACGCAAATGGAAAGAGAGCGACTCAATTGCAAGTCAGCTGATATGAACCTATGGGATACCTGCAGCCCAGTTGCCATTGTCGCTGTAAAATGTGAGTCAGGTCGCCTTTTCTTCAATGGCCTGTGGAAATAGTCTTGTTAATTTCTATGAGAATGAGATGGCTCTCTCTCTCTCTCTCTCTCTCTCTCTCTCTCTCTCTCCTTTTTTTGGCTAACAGTTTAGATGTGACGTTGTGTATACAGATATATAAAAGGTCGAAGAACATCAAATATTGGCTGATCTCTGAAATTCGGCACTTAAAGATCCCCCAAAGCATAAAATGAACTCACATGCTAGGCAAATACTGACCTTCGGCGACAGTGGAATGATATCACGGTGCATTTTGAAATGAGGCCACCCAAGACCACCCAAAACCGGTACCTGACAGTGAGATTTTGTAGCCCTAGATACCACGAGGTCCACAGTTGGCAGGATTACATGACGCATGGTGAAAATAAAGGACAGTCATTCTCCATTACGATCTGCATAGCTATCACATGGAAAAGAATAAGACGCTACGTGGCGTTCCATCTTAGAGTCACTGTATTTGACCCAGGTAATGATCGAGCGTGCAGCCACGGTAAAGGGGGGGAAAAAAGCAAAGAAATAGGGGAGAAACAAAGTAGCCAGCCAATAGAACGCCCACCAGTGGTGGCTCCCATAGCCACACCGTAGAATTGGGTGAGGATCCCGTGTGCTTGCTCATGGAGCCACGACATAAAAACAGCAGCGAGGGGGGGAGCCGGGGAGGAAGAAACAAACAAACACCCTCATCCATCCTTCTGCCCAAAGCCTGGACGCCTGGGTAACCCTGAAATCATAAAATCGTTGGAATCACGCCGATCTCACATGTCGGCGTTAAATCATAAAATATGGAAAGGGCAGGAAGCAAATGAAACCAGACCCCGAAACTAAGTGATTCCAATCACTGGAAGTATTCATTGGGTAAGGCTGCTAGCACAGCGATAGTTCCCAGACCACCCAGCAGGGCGCTGACGACAGCCGTGGTGGCGTGGCTTGCCAAGGACTTTGAGGTTGGGTGATTAGACTTCACTCGCTTTGCCGGACGCTCATTCTCAGCAAATGCAGAGACATTTTCGGCAAGTGCGGAGCTGATCGCATCCTTGGCCTCAGAGGGAATTGTGTCGAGGTTGAGATCTGACTGGCTGGCTGGCTCTACAGGCAGCCGCTGAGCATCTTGCGAAAAACTGGGTTCAAGAGACGACGATTGCATCTCTGTTGCAGTACGCTTCAAATTTGACTTTCCAGATGTTGCCAGGTAGGGCACAAATACATCGTCCACGGGGGCACTAGTCGAGAACGGTCCATCGTGGTAGTAATTCTCGAATTCATGAGACAAGGACGGTATTCCAACACTGCTCTCAATCTTCCGTTGCATTGGTGGATATTTGTTCTGACATGATCTTGGCAGCTCACCAGAAACAGTGTATGGCGGGAACCGAGCACCTGGGTTTGTCATACCAGGGGCAGTCTGTGACATCGATGGCTTACTCTCGTTCCGTGCGGGGTTCGATGGCCCGTCCCCAATAGCTTCCTGGTACAATTGCTCTGGGCCATTCTCTTCAGGTACATGCTTGGACACTTCGACGGCATCAGTGTGGTTGGCGCGTCCAAGTTCCTTCATATACTCCAAATCAAGCAAGGAACGGAGATCAGGCTTCAGCGGAACACGGTGTTCAAGACGCTCATCCTCAGAGGAACTGTCAGAGTCGTTTTCGGATTCATCAGAGACCTCATCATCTTTCTCTTCGTCATCTTCGTCAAAGTCCTCTGCCGACACTTCACAATCGACTCCATGAATCGATTCGCTGTCGTACATCCCATAAGCATATTCATAGTTGTCTGAGATCGACTGGTTGAGACCATCTGAGTCAGAAATGTACCCCTCACTGCCCTGAGCTTCTTCATCTGAATCAACGGACTCGTCATCAGAGAGCCAGTTTTCATCGAAGTTCAGATCCCAGTAAGGAGCCACATCGCACCATCGATCTCCGATCATCTGGGGCTCCCAGGCCCTCACGATCCAGCATTTGTGACAGTCTTCCACCTCGGTTTCAGTCTCGAGCTGGCGCTTCAGTTCCTCGCTGAGAAGCTCCTGTGGCTTCTCAACGATCCACCACCAATTGCTCATATCCTGGCCGGCTTCGTCTTCGTAGATGATCCAAAACCTTCGCTTATCGACTGACCAGTACCTAAGAAGGTTGCCGGGCATACGATGGAAGGATGTGTCTGATTCCTCGGAGTCTGGTTCCCAATAGACTTCTGTCCCAACGCAAGGCTGGAAGCTAGGGGAGTCATCTACCCAGTACGAATCTTTGGAGATAGAACAACGGCGTGCAGCGTGGATAATGCGCCTGTCGTGGTCAACGTCGGGTATCATGTTGGATTCGCCCCAAGCCATGTCTGCTAGCCGCATGAACATAGGCCGCATCATGGTCCAATCGCTGTAGAGGATCTCGGGTACTTTCTGGTAACAGACTGCAGGGAGACTTTCTTCCTCGTGTGCTTGTTGTGCAGATGGAATTTCGGTAGAGGGTGGTTTGGCGGAGGATATGTTGGCATCTGAGACCGGTTTGGCGGGAGATGGTTTGGTGTCGGTGGCCGGTTTGGTATCAGACAGCGGACTAGGAAGATCCGGGACCAGTAGTGAAGGGTCGGGCACAACCTTTGTGGTAGACTCTTCGGTAGAAGACAAATCTCCCCAATGGAGCTCCGGTTCGTCCTTCGAATGTTCGTCACCCTCGACACTCGAGACAGGAGAAACCAGAGTATCCACAGGCTGCAGAACAGTAGTTTCCCAAGATCGAGCAACGGACTCTTTAGAGGAGTCATCACTGGGAAGGTCGGCAGCCTCGATATCGCTATCGTCTTCGGGAACAGAGAAACTATTGGTTGACGGGCTTGGATTCAGTTTGATAGCAATTCCATCGTCTCGAATGACTGCACGCTGGGGTTTTAGCCACTGAACCTTGCAGCGGACCTCGATGGCCTCAAAAATCTCTGTACTTGGTTAGTTCCAGAACTATTAGACTGATATTGACCACATACCTTGGCCACGGTCGACATCGACACCAAATCGGATGATATCTCCACTAAACAGCGGGGTATCCACATCTGTCACCAGCTTAGTATCATTCAGGAAGGTTCCGTGTGTCGAGCCACAGTCGGCAATGAAAACCGTCTGTCAAAGATGTCAACAGGGCCATATGGTCAGATATGGAGGTTGGAACTAACATTTTGGTCGGGTGGTATGTTGAGAAAGGCATGATCACGAGACATGACCCGAGACTCAAACCAGGCGTTTTCTGTTGCAGGACTCCTTTTTCGAGTTTCACGCTTTGAGGCACGTCCGATGGCCACAGTCTTATCATGGTCGGCGATAGTGAGGGTACGCAGAGGATGGGTGTCTTCGAAAAGGGGGACAAGTGTCACGGTGACTGTGAGTTTGAGGTGTCAGTTGCGAGCAAGGTGACTATCAAGATATCCAAGTACTTACCACGTGGGTCCGACATGGCTAAAGGTAGATCAAGGATGGTACTGTGTAGGAAGCAGAAATAGGAAGCAGTTTGTTTCTAGGCGATGGTTAGACTGAGAGATAGAATTCCATGTGTGATAAGAGAGACCATGACAGCAAGGTAGAATGAATAACAAAGCATGACAAGATGAAGGGTGGGGGCAAGAGGTTAGGAGAGTTGGAGACAAAGGCAGCTTACCCGGGTGTTTCCAGGCTGCAACGCGATCACATGGACCAGTTGAGACAGCCGGGTGATAGCAGATGTATTGCAGAAAGGTAGTTTGTGAGCCGAGTAACTCAGAGCAGCAAATATGAAAAGTTGTTCAAAGCACAGAAGGTGTGGAAGGGAAAGAAGGAAGGGAGAGGGGTAGGTTCATCAATCAGGTCGAAGTTAGGTTCACCGCTGACGAGGACGTTTGGGTGTGGGAAACCCCTTTGAAATGGAACTCAACTTGATACTCAGTTATCAGTAAACCTATTCAAATTTTAAGAAGTCAAGATTCAAGAAGAAACTAAGAAGTAAAGTATCCGGAAGCTTAGGAACAATGAGGTATGTATGAGAAGTGATAGTGTGAGATAAGCAAATGACGCCGTTGGGCTATTTCAACACGTACATATATGTATATACCCTGGCTCGACCGAACTTCCCTACAGGATATATACGGGCTAAATACAGAGAGTATATATCAACTTACTTAACCTTTTGGTGATTTAGTCCCTATTCTTCTTCGACTTTTGAGGCATCAAAGGACAAACAAAGTCCGGAGATGCCGATAAGGGGTGGGGTCAGCTGATGTGGAGACGCACGTCATGGTCATCCGCACATCACATCTTCACTAGGGGGAAGTAGCTAACTATAGGACAAAGTATGGATTATTACTTACATGTATTCAATAGCAAGCTTAGAAGTATTCTATAGGTATACAGTGCGTTAATCTGATGTTAATGAGCACTCTCATTTTCCTCTATGGTACACAAATTACTACATGGTCAAACCCCAATGCACTTACCCGGGCTCGGTTTGCCGTCAATCGGCCCATCCCATCCCGAGACTCATCTCAGACAGACCCAGGATCAAAACAAAAAGAAAAGAAAAGAAGGCGGACGGGGAATATGTCAACCGATAGTAAATACATGCGGAGAGAATAGTGAACCGGGGATCCAAAGATACCGAAACCGGAAGAGAAAAAGGCTTAGACAGGAATACCCAAACCGGGGCGAAGAAAGAAGCGAAGAATCCAAGAACGAAGAACGAAGATGATCCGCTGACTTGCTTACATGCCAGGAGCACCACCGTTCATGGCACCCATGGTGTTCAGGCGGGCAGCTAGTTGGGGGTACTTCTCCTGAACTTCCAACTGGGTGCGGGTGGCCTCGGCGTAGGAAATGGCGTTGATAATCTCAGCCTCGGTGCGAGCCAGCTCAGCAGCGCGCTCGAAGTACTTGAGAGCCTGGGAGACCTTGCCTTGCTGGAGGAGCAGCTGGGCCATGGTTCCAACAGCAATATCGCACTCGGGATCAATGATGAGAGCCTTCTGGCAGAGATTCTCGGCCTCCTGGAAGTCGTGCTTCCACTGGAACAAAGCAAGAGCCTTGTTGATCAGGGGCAGAACGTTGATGCCCATAGGCTTGCTCTGCTTCTCCATCTCAACAGCCTTGTCAAACTTTTCAATGGCCTCGGAGTAGTTCTGCTGGTCAAGCAGAAGCTCGCCGTAGTAGTTGTATACATCGGGGACTTCCTCGAAGTTCTTTACTGTCCGGCGGAAAGTGGCCATCGCTGAGGCAACAGAGCCCATCTTGTATTGTGTCACACCAAGTTGAATGTGAGAGTAAATGAACGAGCGGTCAAGGTCGATCGACTTCTGGTAGTCCTTGGCGGCCTCGGCAAGCTCGGTCAGGATGAAGTGCAGCTGAGCACGGTGGTAGTAGATATCGGGGTCGTCCTTGTTGTGAGTAATGGCAAGCTCAAAGTCATCGGCCGCAGCATCCTTGTTACCAAGCTCCAAGTGCAAGCTAGCGCGCTTGATGTAGCTTTGAACCAGGGAAGGAGAAAGCTCGACACTCTTGTCCAGGTCGGCCAAAGCGCCAATGGCATTACCGCCGAGGTAGGTGAAGGTGGCTCGCATGTTAAGGGCCAATCCTTCAAATTCGCCGAGCTCGCCGAGCTCAAGTGCCTTCTCGAAAGCGGCGGCAGCCTCTTCGTAGCCATCGGCAGTCTTCTTGCCCATGGCGATGAGACCCTTACGCAGCTGGCCCTTGCCAGACTCATCGCTCAACTCAACCGACTCCTCCAGTCCCTCGGGGAGGTCCTGGGGACGGAAGCTCTGAAGGTAGTTGGATACAAAGGTGGCACTAGGCAACTTCTTTGTGCGCGCCTCCAAAATGGCCTGGCTCTTCTTCTCCGCAACCTTCTTCAGTAGGCGTTCGAGCGAATTGCGGCTCACGTCGTTGGAGAAAGCATCAATGATACAGCTGGCTGTGAAGTCGAGGAGAGCCTCGCTGTACTTTTCAAGGTGCTCATACGCAATGGCTCTTCGATTGAGGGCCTTAACGTATTCGCTGTCCATGGCGAGAGCGGCGCTGGTGTCCTCGACAACCTTCTCCCAGTTGGACTGGACATTGTAGCAGGCGGCGCGGTTGGAGTAGAAGACGGGATCGGGCTTGCAGATAATGGCCTTGCCGTACAACTCAATCGCGTTGGGGTAGTCCTTGATTCCGTAGGCCTTGTTACCGGCGGCCTTCAGCTTGGCCGCATAGGCGTTCCGGGTCTTGACTTGTCAGCGAAAGTGTGAGAAAAAGATATTGCTCGACATACCTCTTCGGAAAGCTCTCCAATAGTTGCCTCATCCACTTCGGGAAGCTCATCAGTGGGCTCCTCTACCTTTTTAGGAGACTCTGGAACCTTGTCAGTCATACGACCACCGTCTTTTAACATGAGCACATACCATCCTTCACTGATGCAGCCTTTTCTTCCTCGGCCTTCTTCTTTTCTTTCCGTCGCTGGTTCTTGCTCTTTTTGGGTGCTGAGGAAGTGGGTTTGCTGGAATCGTTCAGGTAGTAGACGACACCCGCGCCGGTCACGACAACGGCAACACCGGCAATGGTGTAAACAACGGCCTTGTTTTCTGAGACCCAGTTGGTGATACGATCCCAGACTGATGCCGATGATGACTCAGTCAGCTTTGATGTATCGAGCACCACATTTTGGGCGGGCGTAGGTAACGGCAATTCGTTCGACATGATGTGTAAGGGAACCAGGCAAAGGGAGCGACGCGGCTAGTTCTTTGAATGTATGCAGATGTCAGTATTCAATCGATAAGCCAGGCGCAGTTAGGCTGAGATGGAAGACAATGGGTTCACTAACCAGACCTCGACAGATGGAGTTAGAGATGGGGAAGTTCGGGAATGATGAAGCTCAGAGGAAAAGTCAAGGGTTCCGTTGGCCGGGCCGGCCAATCACGCGCACTGCGCCGGTAACACTCAAGTTCTCCACAACACATGTTCGGATTGAACAGACTTGGCTCATCGGATCTTTTTGTATTCTTCCCTCCCTTTCTTCTTCAAATTTCCTCCGAAACAAAAGTCGTGTGGATTTATCTACTATTTAGAAAGACTGACTTGGTGACTACAGCAACGACCGTAAGCCATTGACTTTCGCAAAAATGACCGAGAACTCTTCAAGCCAACAATCTTTCGAGATTTTTTCCTCCCTTCGCTTTGACCCGGGCCTTCCAGATGCAGCCTGTCGCCATGCATCGAGCTATCCCGATCCTCACAAATCCCCCTACTACCTCCTCGCTTATCACCAAGACCGACTCATAGCTGCTGCTGCTCATTTCCAATGGAACGAGGCTCTAAACTGGCTGCAACAAGACTTGCAAGAATTCGAGGAGTTCCTCGACGCGTCAATTCCGGACCGAAGCAAAGCATGGAGGCTTCGGATTGTAGTGAACAGCAAAGGGAAGGCGAGAGTTGAGGCGAATGCAACAGCAAGCATTGATCTAATGAGTTTGTTCATTCCCTCTCTACATACGAGCCCAAACCTGCCGATATGGCGCGTCTATGTCGATACCAAATCAACAATTCCTTCGGGATTCACCACGCATAAAACTACCGCGCGTGATGACTACACGTCTGCAAGGCTGAGAGCGGGAATTAATTCGCCGGCAGACCTTGCGGAGGTGCTGGTTGTGAACCCGGATGGCGAGGTTATGGAAGGTAGCATCACTACGCCGTATTTCTTGCGGGACCATATGTGGATCACGCCCCCGCTGAGCAGTGGCGGCAATGCAGGTACAACACGGAGGTATGCGTTATCTCAGGGTTTCTGTCTAGAACACACCATATCCCAAGATGAGCTTGTGGATGGCGAGTTGTGTTGGTTGAGCAACGGCGTAAGGGGGTTCATTCGAGGCCAGGTCATAGCCAAGTAAGAATTTCCCATGCTACATAGTATGTACCTATGCACCAACTTCGATGGGTACATATGTGGACTAGTCGATGATTGAATGCTATTGATAAATTGATGAAAAGGCTATGAAATCATACGTATTTTTGAACTTGATTGCTCCAGAAAATGCCCCCCTCCTCCAGGTCTATTTCTTAGCCTTCTCGACCACCACTGGGTTGGGATTCCCCTTCCACTCCAGAGGGCGAGGACGCATGTACTCGGCCATGATCTCATCAGTGACCTGTGCCCTGCGCTCCTGGAACCCTTGGACATAAGTCTGAAGCTCAGCAATACATTTCTGCTTAATCTCGCCGGTCATCAACTTTCCAGCCTCGTAATCGGTACGGATGCGCTCCAGTTCCTCGTCATCCTCGAGGAAGAATGTCAAGTACTGGAATGGGATATCGTTCTTGGTGTTGCCGCCCAACTCGCGGTGCAATTCCGCGGTGTCCTGGCCACCTGAGAAAGCGTGCTTGTTGATCTTGTTCTTGATCTTGTTGGGCGTGTCGCTCATGAAAATGGCGGAACTGTCAACACTGGCGGACATC